TCTTTGTCGCGTCCCTTTTGGCCAGGTATCCCTTTCGTTTTACCTTTTTATCTTCGGTAGTAACTACGTGAAAGCTCTCAATTTCGTCCCTATCAACACTTCTGGACGAGCTCTCGCCTTCCTCCATGTTGCTTTGAAACTTGAATATATAATCAGATAAGAATACACGAAATGCGCATGCGCTGTTCAATTAACATTCCAATGGCGAGGGCCCTCACAATATGCGCAGAAATAATGCGCAGAACGGACTTGACTTCCACTTTAAGCTTTTGGTAGCAGAGGATACTGGTTGTCGATTTGGTCATGCCACGATCACGACATACTAATATCAATCAGATAGGTGGCGGAGCTGGACGATGGAATGGCGAAGGTCGCGTGTATCTTATGCGTCAGAAGGCAAGACGAAAGGGGAATTATAAAATTGGTTGCTCTGACGATCCAACAAAACGTTTAAGAGAAATACAAAAAACCGAAAGAAACAAAAATATCAAGCTACTTAGATCTGTGAAAGCGAATAAGATGCGTGATGCTGAAACAGCAGCCCAAGAAGCAGTGAAGAAACTTGGTCTGAAGAAAGATAGTTCGCGAGGAAGAGCTACAGATTGGTTCGAGGGTTCATCAAGACACTCGCAGGAAGAAATTGAAACGGTCATACGTAATGCCGTCTATAGAAACAACCGTCAAAATAAATAATTGGGAACAGCCCAAACAGCCATGACATTAAATACCAGCAGAATGAACAGCAACTCGTGATGAAATGTAAAGATTTCATAGAGACGTAGTTTATGTTGCATTGGCTTTTATACTTTGTTCGGATACTAAATAAATGTGTTTTATGTACTTATTTAAAGTGTGAACAATTACTTTTCAATCAAATCTATATAGTAAAATGATGTTTATCATATTTAAAATTAAGGTAAATGATCTTTAATGTTTATATTTGCTACTTTCGTGTTTGGCATCTTACGCTTGGCTAACTTTGAACACGTTTTGAATCATCGTTCCGCAAAAGCAATAGAAGATTCGCTGAATTCACGAGAAAGCGGTGCCAGTATTTAAACTACAGTTTAACGTTGTCAATAGGAATACAGTGCCTTAGCTCGTTTGAAAGCTGTAACAACAAAAATTTGGTTATTCGCTCAGGTTTTGACAACGGCAAAGTCCAAAGAGAAACCGAAGAAAAGCTGCTGTATAAGCAACTTTCGCTTTCCGTTTCCCTGGCCGTTTTCCTGGAAAAAATGCCATACAAATTAATATCAAGTATTGTATTTAACAAAATTCTATCAAAATCTCATCTGATTGTTTGACTCGTATAAAGGTATAGGTTATATAATAGCAAGTTCTACCAGATGCAACAGATGGTGGTCACAGGTCCATAGTCAAGGGTGCGACATTTGTCACACTGATAAATTCACGGAGACTATATCTGTTCTCAAAGGGTTATAGTCTAGATAACCGGATTCCGATGATAGAAACAGGATTGTTTTCGGAAGGCCCTATAAATCAACCTTCTTGAAAAAGTTAAAGCAATAAAGGCTTCTCTTATCAAGATTTTTGTCATCGATGTTAGATCTGAAGGACTCTACAATACCACTCTCTTGTAGCATTGGTTGCTTACAACAGAGTGATCTCGGAACACAAGAAAAGTCGTTACAGACTATCGCATTTTTCGTGGCGGCATTCTACTATGGTGTCCCATGTCCGCCAAAAATCAACTTTTGCATTTCACTATATGATATTTTGAGGATCATATTCATTTCATTAAAATAACAACATTGTTTTTGAAGATCACCGGTTTATCGGTTGAAAACACAACTTATTTTTTGAAGACCAACTTTTGAAGACCAACTTTTGAAGACCAACTTTTGAAGACCAACTTTTGAAGACCAACTTTTGAAGACCAACTTTTGAAGACCAACTTTTGAAGACCAACTTTTGATACCCAACCGCAATCCAATGTCTTTGTTGTTCGCGGGCTCATATTGTGATTTTCCGCTAAAATCATCTCTGTCTGAGTAACTAAACTTTTTATATATTCATTGTCTTATTTTCCTTATCCATTTTGTGCAGGCCGATGTAAATTCAAGAATATGAATTATTCATATACTGTACAATGTACATGACATGTATTAATAGTTAATTATGATTCAAAAATCATTAATAATTCAGGAGGAAAACACAGAGAAAAATCATAAGCGTGTCGTGGTTTTATATGTCATAAAAAATCATGTTAATTTACATAAACTTTAGCTTTGATTTTCTCGGTTTAGATAAAGTTTATTTTAAAAATTACTTTGCCAATGAACTCAACTCGTATAAGATATTTGAAGCCATTTAAAGCACTTGTAGTCGTGTTTTATCACATATAAATCACTCCGCTACGCGTCGTGTTTTATATGTCATAAAACACTCCTACGCGTGCTTTAAATAGTACTTTATGACTTGGTGTTGGCGGCTCGTATAATATTTTACTTGTGATCAGGTTAGATTGCAGAATACCCCTCCATTTTCTAACATTACATGCAATTTTAGAATTTTAGTTGCGATTTTCTCCTTTTGTAAGATGTGAAGGAGTAGATTACATAAACATTTATAACTTTAATATCCACTCCTTCACATCCTCCAAAAGGAGAACATATTTCGAGCAGTGGCAGCAGACATCAACTTTTAGGGGGGGGCAGGGGGAAAGCTTGTGCAGGTTTTTAATGTCCTGTGTACCATTTGGACTCATAAACAGTGCCGTAGCAAGCTCGATAATAGGGAGCTTTAGATTTGACTACGAATACGACTACGAGTACGAGATTCGTCAAGCTAAACGTATGCTGTATGCTTACGCCATCCCGTACTGACGCGAAAAAGTCGTAGCCGTCGCCCATCTGAGTACGAAATTGTGGAGAAACCTCGTAGTCCTCACGACGACTTTTCAAAAAAACAAAGAAAGTTGGCTTTTTTTTTGTTTTCCAAAAATAATTTGTAGCATTTATATAGCGTTTATCCGGCGCAAATAATATATTAGTACTAAATATCTGGCCTGTTTTTAATGTTATGATTTGTTTACACGTTTTGTAGGGGATTTTAGTCTGCAGGAGATTTAGTTTATGAAACTTTTTCTCTCCGTTGTTGGTTTACTGTTATAAAAGCAACATTTGAATGGAAACGAAAACGACTATGTAATTTCCTCGCACACGATCAAATCTCGTACTCGTAGTCGTACTCGTAGTCAAATCTAAAGTTCCCTAATTGGGGGGGGGGCTGATATTCATATATTCATGTTCTGTGTTATTATTTCTTTAGAAATCAATTGTTTTTATGGTCTGTGAACACAAATATATGAATATCAGCCCCCCCCCTCCCCAATTATCGAGCTTGCTACGGCGCTGCTAAAACCTGACTGTGTGTAATATATTAGGATATCTATGTTCTAGGACAATACATTATCCTGTTTTTCTCTGTTTACCAATGGGTCATTCCAGAAAACATCCATACCACCCTCACGGAGGAAATTAGAAGTTAACTCCCCTACCCCCTTCGGATATCCTATTGTCTGCATTGGTATTCCATTTGTTCCATATTGAAAAGAATGTTATATGCCTCTCCAACGTTTGCACATATCGAATAATCAAGATTCATATTTACTAGCAACCGTTGTAAAAAATCAAGTTTCAGCATAAGCTCTTATGTAGTCTACATTAGCGTCTCGAGACTGTGAAAAACGGTCGATGGAATTTATCACATCAAAAATCGCCTGTAGCAAGTATTGTTTGTCTTCTTCCTCCATTTTGAAAACATAATAAATGAGCCCGCGAACAACAAAGACATTGGATTGCGGTTGGGTATCAAAAGTTGGTCTTCAAAAGTTGGTCTTCAAAAGTTGGTCTTCAAAAGTTGGTCTTCAAAAGTTGGTCTTCAAAAGTTGGTCTTCAATAAGTTGTGTTTTCAACCAATAAACCGGTGATCTTCAAAAACAATGTTGTTATTTTAATGAAATGAATATGATCCTCAAAATATCATATAGTGAAATGCAAAAGTTGATTTTTGGCGGACATGGGACACCATATTCTACGGCCCTGACTGGAGTGCTATTACAATGTTTTTTTTATTTTCACATGGTGGTAAATAAATGGAATTGAAGGTCATGCAGATTGTAGTTTAGTTTTCTTGCTCTAATAATTATGAAGTGCGACTGTATGTATGACCAGCGGACAAGCTGAAACATTCTAATACCCAGAACCCTCTGCGCGTAAGGAGGGCTCTGGGTACGAGAATGAAGCTGATTGTTGAATTTCACATTTGGGGGAATTTGGGAATAACCCCATTAGCGGAGGCGAGCAAATAACTACTGCGTATTTGTTGTGCATGGGAAGTCTATAATTTTGTGGCGGCGTATATAAAGTACAAGTCTTTGTAACAAAGTAAGTTGATTTCATTAAGTCTTTATCGTTCACATCACTTTTAAGCTACAATACAGCCAGATTTCATAAGACATAAACATATATATCAAGGCCTAGTTAGCCTGTGACGAGAGCCTTCTGCTCTGCTCATATTCTGTGCTCTAAACTTAGGAAAGCTCGGTGAGTTACTTATTATGGCCAGAAAAAAGAACCAAAGAGGAGGCGCTGCAGGACGATGGAATGGCAGAGGTAAAGTGCATATATGCTATGACAAACGGCAAGGAAGTAAGTAAAGATCGGATGCTCCAAGAATCCGAAACGACGATTACAACAGGTTAGACGAACCGAGAGAAATAAAAAAATCAAGTTGATGAGTTCTTATAAAGTGCCTAAAAAAATGCGCGACGCAGAAACAGCAGCGCAAAGAGCTGCAAAAAGCAAATTAGGACTTAAGAAAACTTCTTCGCGAGGTGGAGCAACGGATTGGCATAATTTATCGCGAGTTTCACAAAGAAAAGTTCGCGACACGATCCGTTAAGCAGTACAGAAACATAATGCTAAACGGCCTAAACGCAAATAATTTTGGAACAAATATTTTCGTCCTAGAGACGTATAGTTGATATAGTTACTTTGTGGTTGACTAAAATCTAAATGTATTTTATGCTGATTTTATGCTGATTTGACGATTTGAACTCGTTTGCTGCTTTCGTATTTGCCATTTGGGGATCTACAATAGAGCTAGACTACAGAATCAGAATCAGAGATATGCCATTGCTACTTTGAAATTTATAACAGAATAACCTTTTGGTTAATCGCTCAAGAAGTTAAACTATAGCAAAGTAAAAAAGTTGCTGTTTAAGCAACTTTCGCTTCTGGTTTTCGAGGAATAAATGTCACTTGACACTTGCTAATTAATATTCGAATATGTGCATGAGTTTAATATTCAAAATACATAATATCAGCAACATGTATTTAACAAATAGATAAAGTGCCTATGACACGAAATTTCACCCCAAATGTTTATGATTGTAAAGATCACTTAAAATGACTTAATAATTTCTTTTATAGAATTTTGGTAACTTGCTTCCTTTGCAAGATATTCAACTTTGTTCATATGCAAATATCACCGGTGTGACATCACATCGCATGATGACATTTTGCATGAAAACGCAATATTTTACCTTGATAAAATATGTTTACAAACAAATACAGAGGGTTAATTACCAGCTATGAAATTAATACATATACAAGGGCAATTTTTAAGTTTTTTAGATACATATTCGTCAAGAAAACTATACTTTTCTGAAAACTCATTATGTGATGTGATCACTATAAGATTTTGCTTTTGTCTGTTCAGTTTTAGATACACAGTATGACGTCATAATGTGTACAAATTATAATTCCGTGCGTCTGTCGTCTATAGATGATGGCTCTCGACCAATGAAAGCGCTTGAATTCTTAACGATATTGTATAATTGTCATTAGATACGCTATCACAGCTACATAAAGGAACGTCCTGCTAATATTTTTCTCCTCGACTTTAGATGGTTAATATGATTTGCAAAATCTGACTTGCGTGAACATTTTAATGTAAGCATAGGCGTACGAGACAGGAGGGCCCCCCAATTTTGGAAAACCATGGAAATTCGGGCAAATGCTAGGCAAAATCAAGAAAATTCGGGGAGATTTATCAGAAAATAGCTTAAATTCATTACAATCCTCCATAAAAATTCGGGCAAACTTTCAACTGCCCCCTTGGAAAGATCAGCCTCGTACGCCTATCAATGTAAGTATCCAATGCCATATTGGCAAGTGAAACCATGCATATAATTTAAGTGTGATTTCAGTGCGCGAAATGAAATCGCGGGAATTTAAGACCGAGAAAAATAGTGTATCACGCGAATTTAAATACCACAAGTATATTGTCTATGTATCTTTCTATTACGCATTGCTTTGAGGCAAATCAGTTACGTGGATTAACAATTTGTACTGACATATTGTATTATTTTGTTTGTACACTAAATGTCAAGACTGCGTCTCTAAATATTCTTGTATATGCTGATAGATATGTCACAGTTTCTTAAATTCGTTTTTTCGTCGCATAAATAAATCTGCCCCCTCCCCCCCCCCCCCCCCCCCCCCCCCCAACGCTAAATATATATCTTCAACGTCTCCTCCTTCAATAATTTCTAAAATCCTTGCTTGCTGAAACTTCCTTGCTTGCTGAAACTTGCTTGCTTGTTTGCTTGCTTGCTGATTACCAATATTTTTACAATGAAAACCGGATATTCACGAAATTTCATTAAATTTAAGCCAAAATTACTGATGAGATTTAAATATTGTACAGAGATGTGCAGCTCTCAATAAAAGGCAACCTCGTCGTATCCAGGGCATACTGCCATTGAGATTGGTGAAGAACTTTTTTCACAACTACAACAGCCTCGCCTCGGCTTTCACTGCCACCAATTGTACTCACAGATTTCACATTGCCATGGACAGCTGAAACAATGGAATGTGAATTTGTTAAGGATTACTTTTGAAGGATTGGATAGGATTAAGACCAATAGGCCTTTTGTAGAAATGCAATATATGTCAAAACAATGCCAGACAGGATGGCATAAAGAACAGTGGGATGATGTTCAAAACAATGAAAAGACAATGGAAGATTCTGATCACTGGATCATGACTGGTGACATGGAGAACAGTGGGATTTTCAAAACAATAAAAAGACAATGGAACACTCTGATCACTGGATCATGACTGGATGACATGAAGAACAGTGAGATTTTCAAAACAATGCAAAGACAATGAAACATTTTGATCACCAGATCGTGAGTAAGTGAAAGTATGCCATATACTTAGTGCGCATGCTCATAGTAAAGCTTATATTTTGATATATTAACAACAAATTAAAACACTTTGTTTTGTTTGCAGAGTGCAGTTTAGAAAACAAACATCTTTAAATACTTACCAAAATCTCCGGTACAAAAGCTTTTGATCAACTCTTGCCGCGAGCATGTTTTACAATCCTTTAGCCTGAGCGAGCCGTGGCCATTTCCAAGAAACATAGCCCTATACGTGAACACAGCCTTGTCCATGTTCACATCTTTCGCAGACTCTACATAGATCATAACGTGTTTTGTCTGTGAGCTAACACAGATCTCTGACGTTATATTCATTGCATCGTAGCGTCGAAGAAGTTTAAAATTGTCTTTATTTCTCGTAAAAATGTCAAAACCGTTATTTCTTGAGGAGATACACACTTTATATTCTCCCTCAGTTTTCTGAGGTACTCCTGTTTTGAACATCATTTGTACGCCACCATAAGGCTGTTCCCAGGTAACCTGGCCACTTTGACAAGCATAGAAATGTACAGGATGCACGCTTGCTGGTATTGTCCTCTCTCCTGACCTGTAAAAGTTACAATCAAGTTATAAAACACATCAGTGAATAGAAAAGTAGAAAATGCAAAAGAAATCAATGTTTAAACAGCATTCGAATCAATAATATCATCTCTGGATCAATACGAGATGACCTTTACTGGACTTCTAGGGAGAACAGTTAAGAACTGATAAAGCTATCCAGTATAAATAAAGTTAGTTTAATTGAGGTTTCCTCCTGGAGTAACACTGGATCAATAAGAGATGATCCTTACTGGACCTCTATATAGGAAGAACAGTTTAGAACTGATAGAGTTATCCAGTATAAATAAAGTTAGTTTAGTTTTAGGTTTCCTCCTGTAGTAACATTGATAGAGCTATCCAGTTCTAAATTGGTCTTACTGAGTTCTTTGCATAAGCTTAAGACATAGGAAAGGACATATATTTGAAGATCACGCATCTCAGCTGAGAAATACCATTGTATGATGCTAAAATTATTCAATGAAGCGTACAAGCAGCTGCAATTACTGAAAGGTGCAAAGAATACGATTTAAGGATTGTTTTCAGCTTGAAAACAAAACAAAAATTTGGCCAGCGACGATGCCTACTCAAACCGTCCTCTAATTCTGATTATCTAGTAAGGAATTTAGCATGCATGATGGGCAGGTTATTGCTTTAATTTCCTGGTATTTGAACAGGAAAGAGTAAACAGAATTTCCTGAGTTATTTCAAGAATGCAACAAGACAAAAACATTCCAAAGTATTAATGATTTAAGTAGGGCTTAGTCTCAGACTAATTACAAAGCAAACTGCAATTTTATATCGAATTTGACAATACGAGCGGAAATTCTCATTGTTTTCGATTGTTTTAGAAAGCTGCATTTCAAAGACACTGGAAAAATAAGATTGTCACCCGTGCATGCACAAAAATTTCAAATCTTGTCAACAAGTTGTACGGGCACGGCTTTTTCAAAGTTTTGAACAAGTTTGTAACAAGAAGCCAACATGTTGTAACAAGCTTCAGTTTTAGAGTAACAAGGTTGTTGTGAAGTCGATATCAGGATGTGTTCGCACTGCTTGTTCCCAGTTCCAAGTCTGGAACAAGTTGTTATCACCTTGTTACAAAATTGATGACGGTAACAGACTTGCCACAAGTTGTTCCAACAAGACTAATACAGGCTGTCCGTAAGAAGTTGCTACGAGCTTGTTGTCATCAACCTGTTAACAATTTGTCACATGCATGCAGACGATATCAGACTTGTTGGAAAAACGTGTTGCGAGCCTGTTGACGTCATCAACCTCGTTACAAGATGATAACGACTTGTTCCAGACTTGTCAGCAACTGGGAACAAGGAATGCGAACATCTCTTGTTGACAAGCTGCAAGATTTTTACGCGTGTGACCTGTCAACTATACAAGGGTATTGATTATTGACGTAACATCGACCTACACGAGTGGATTTTTCAACTTCTTATTGAAATGTCCTGATGTATAAAATTAAATTTGGAGCATGCACAAAATTAAACTTGTCCTGTATATTTATTAAGTTTAATCATTATGCATAGCCAATGAATATTTAAATAGTATTAATCTTTCATCTCTTGCGTTGCATGGACATGTTTTATTTTTCCATCAGAAAGTGAAAGGTTTATCAAAATGAATCATTTATCTTGTCAAATACAACACCTGCCTGTCTGCATTTTCAATTAGATGTTCAGCGACAACGTATTTATTTGCAAATCATTTTCATCCAAGTTTGCACGGGAAAATTATCTGAGATCATGCATGCACAGATCACATAAATGTTTGACAAAAATCTTCGTGTCGTTGCCCAATGGAGGTTTACACTATCAGAAAGCGAATTAAGGTCTTGAATAAATGGTGAGGTTGCAACTTAATTGTTTGCCAATTTTTTTCCCCAATTCCAGTCAACCGACTCATTGTTTACCGAATCCAATTCCTAGTTGCAAATTTACTGCGTGCCATCTCCAGCCGTACAGATCCTATTTTCCCAGCGAAAACTATACAAATTCCACCTCCATGAATCATTGAAGATTTTTTATAGGCTTTCCAAATTTACATTCAAATAAAATATCATATTCAGTAAACTATAAGTCGTGCAAATTTTAGTCGAGTTGACAATGCTAATAAAATTGCGCGCAAAAACTGAAGCAAAACATCTTATGTAAACATAAGCAATCTTTTGAAACTTTCATAAACAATCTGATCATTTTTAATTATTTTTTATCAGATCGTTTTTTTATCAGATTGTTGGCCAATTGAAAGCCAAAAGGCAATCAGACGTTCGTCTATGTCTTACATCGATTCAAAATTAAATCTTGGCATTGTAAGTTGTCCTTGACCTTTTCAGATGAAAAAGTTGCACACAATTCATTCAGAGTATCACAAACATGCACAATAGGTAGCTAACAGCATGATAGCATGCTTTAAACATTTATAATTTCCAATAGCTCGGTCCGGCTCTCTACATAAAAAATGCCCCTTGGCGATGTTGTAATATTTAAACGAAAACAACGCTATTTTATATACCATCCCTGTGGAGTGAAACGTTTACTTTAATCGT